GGTTATTTTGTAGTCAAAAAGGAAATCTAAAAAAACATATAGAGGCAAAGCATAGCATTGGTAAAAATTACAATTGTAATATGTGTGAGAAAGTTTTCAAAACTAAACAAAATTTGAAATATCATATAGAAACAACACACACTGAAATATCGCATAAATGTGACCAATGTTTATCTACATTTACTCATCGTATGTGCTTAAAGGAGCACATGAAAATACATACTGGCGAAAAATTATATCCTTGCGAGGTACGTGCTACGAAATTATTGTCAGTAATTTTTCTAATTATTCTTTAATGATTGGTTCTATTTTTATCTTCCTTTAATCATAAATGTATTCTATTTTAGATATGCGACAAAAGATTTATTAATAAAAGTAAGCTAAACAGACACAGATTGGCACATAGCGATAAAAGACTGTTTGCTTGTGACGCATGCGGCAAGACCTACAAGCATAAAGATCATCTTATTCGTCACATTCGAATTGAGGTCAATTATAATATAACGTTTAAATTTGCAGACTTATTTGTCTTTATATTTTTGTTATATATTGTTAATCATATTATAATAGATTAGTGTAATATTTTACATCACACGTGATAAAAAATTATTTATTATTTACTTTTTAGAGTCACTATCTGGTCGTCACCCGTATGACAAGCGAAGAACAAATTGCAACTAACAACGAAGGAGAAAATGAATAGTTATAACTACTAATAATAATGACGAATAATGACTAATAATAGTGACTGACTGAATGAAGTGAAGAATAAATATGTAACTTTTGTATGAAATTTTACATGTATTGTAAGGAAATCTTTTAGAACATACAATTTTTCTCGAAGGTACAATTGAGCACTGTCAGACACAAGAGCACCATCGTGTAAAGTTGACAACGTGTTCTAACGACAAAATCGTTAAGTAATTTCTCATAGCTTAATACTTATAATAATTTTACGTCCTATTTGAGTTTAATGTAGTAGACTCGCGAACAGAAGCAAAATTTTTGAAATTGATGCTATATCACTAAAAGGCGTCGTTACACTTCTGCTATTGCAATGAGGTTACGGTTTCAGTAAAGTGTAAGCAATTGAATGCTGTACTTTTTATACGTGCCTACAAAGTTAATGAAAATGTGATGTTTCTTTTTGTTGGGCCTAAATTAGCAATGACATGTTAATAAGAACCGAGTAAATGATTAAGAAGTTTGAAAAGG